TGGGTTGCCGAGTATGCTCCGCAGCCGGATGCAGCCGGTTTCGTCCGGATTCCGCCGCCAAATGAGTTATTTTCAATTTCGTTTCGATTTCAAGTTCGGTTTGTTCAATTTATTCTTCAATTACCGGATCCCTTCCTGGCGCCGCAGTGCCGGCGACGCCCGGACTGCAGCTAACGAAATTTCACGGACACTCGTCGTCGAATGCGTCGCATCCGCACGGATAGAAAATCCCATTACCTCCATTATATCCCATTATATCCACGAATATTCGATTAAATCGAACCTCGAAACTACATCGAATTAGTCGCAGGTGATTAACTACGCGAACGCGAATCTCTGAGTTTTTCTTTACGCACGCGGAGAAGTAGGAAAAATGTGACAGTGTAGGAGGAGAAAAAGGAAATGAAAGTAATGTGGGAATTGGGAAAATTGTCGATTTTTTTATGTTCGTATAAATCTCAGTGTCGTTTTTTTTTTCTTCTTCGGCGTGGTTTTTTTGTGCTTTGAGCGAAAGTTGTAGTGGAGGTATGTGAGGCATTTAAATGAACATTCGTTTTGACTCGAATGACCCACGCACGAGCACCCACGCGCCTCTGTGACTTGCATGATGCTGCAGGAATCATGGATAATTGTTAAATGATTTGTGAAAATTCTGCCTTCCTCAAGACGTGATTCTTTTCTTCTTCTTTTTTTGTGTTTAGAGGCGAGAAAACAAGTTTAAATTAAATTAAATTTAAGTCTAGTCAAGTTTCACATGCATAAATGTTTCAAGTTTTTAGTTGTAATTGGAAAAATTTGAGGAAAAGTTTTTTTGCTGTTCTATGAAGAGAAAAGTTCAAGTTTCTCTCCTGCAACTTGTCAAACCGTCCGATGTATTATGCGGAGATTTATTGCGACTGTCTTTAAAATATCGACGCTCGCTTCGATAGACAGCTGCGGAGAAAATTTACTTTGGATATAAAGTAGAGGAAAAGTATTGGCAATATAAACTTGGTGTTTTTTTCTTAGAAACCATGAAAAATTTGGTGTAAAATGAAAAATTTTCTCAAAAATTGATTTTTTTGCGAATTTTTTTTTGAAAATCAACTTTTAAACATATTTTTCTTGTGGAAACAGTTACATTTCTTTAAGTTAACTAGAATATAAAGTGTGGTTATGTCCGGGCAATAGTTTTTTCTTCAGAAAACAAGACAAATTTTGTATAAAATGCAAAATTTCACCAAAAAATAATTTTTTTGCATAAAATTCTTAGAAAATTAACTTTTAAACCTAAATTTTCTTCTTGATATAGTTACATTTATTTGAAAACTGGAATATAACTGGAAAATAATATAAAAATATATATTTTTCTTCAAAATACCAGAAAATTTTTCTTAAAAATTCAACTTTTAAACATAATTTCCCTCCTGAAACAGTTTCATTTATTGGTAAACTGTTTGCTTTCGCTTGTTTGCCGTGGGTTTTCCCCGTTTTCCACTCGAGCCGTTGACTGTTTGTGAATGTTTGCAACCCGCCCTCACGCTCTTTGTTTACGCTCGCGCTCGACTCGCACTCGCGGCTCGTAACTTTAATTCAGCGCTCGTTCGCATGTTAATTAAAAGTATCTCGCGAAGTGCCCCATGTCTCCGGTTACTACACACTTTGCTACACTTTGGCACGTTTTAATCGCTCCATCTCTCGCGTCGTCCGCACGAGCAGATGCGAATTTACATTTCACACGTTTAAAACATTTATTTGCGCATGTAATTCCCATCCAGAATATTTGAAAGAGGGAAGTTTTTAGCCTTTTTTGAGAGAAAGTTTTCAAATGTTTAAAGTGATTATGCCTGCTTAAATTTATCGCTAAGTCTTTGACGTTTTTATTGCGTGCGTTGCGACCGCTTGAACAAGCTGTACATGTTAATGTCGGTTTTTGACAAAAGTCGAGCTTTTGTGCTTTGACCCTTGTTAAATTCATGCGACGACATTCCACTTACGAACGTGAAAGTGAAATCTATAAATTCTAAATGAATTTATTACTTCGTGTACTAATATTTTAAATCTCCGCAAAACGTGACGATATTCTCATAAATAATTCAACTCAAACTTTGAGGTCACTAAAGTTATGTTTTAAGATTTTATGGTGGAGGCGCCTCGCCACTTTTTTTAACTTTTTGCTTTTTCCTCTTTAACACAGTGTTTTGCTCTTAACTAAATCTGGTCACGAGATTATTTATCACCAATCGTTCCAGTCTATAAATCTCTAAAACGTGGTTATACTATACTCTTCGTCTTCGGCCTGCGCCGCCCCCCGACCGCCGAAAACCCTCGAAAGCTAACGGGCCTTAACCACGACACTAACCGTGCTTTAAAATGAATATAACCGGTGACTAACTATCGCTAACGCTGCTTTGCTTCGAGATTAACCGAGAGGAATGAAATATCGTATAGACACACTCATACTCGTACCTCGCGGGTAAGGTGTGGGTCTGTGAGAAGTACTTACGCACATCGTTTACGCACGGCGGGCGATGTTAAACGCTTTGTTACACACTTTGTTAAGCGATATATTTCGCTAGCGGCGGTGATTAATTGAGTTGGTTCAACGTTCTCAACAAATATGACCGGGGTACGAGTGATATTTTATTGATAAATATGGGATTGAATGATTTATTAGTTTGATTAATATCTAAAGTTGTTATTATGGCCAATAGTGATATTAAATGTTATGATTTATCATTGTTAGGTAAAGAGAAATATTCATATGTGTCTATAGTGATATTTAACATTTATAAACTTTTGACTTTTCATTTTACTCGATTTAACGACGGAATATGTACAATTTAGTTGGTGTATATTAATTTTCTCGTTATAGCGTTACAGTTTCTCTGTGTAACGACGAGAAATATTTTAATTCCTAGCAATTATGAGCTAGAATATTTTTTAAAGACATGACATCGATGGTAACACTTGAAATATTGTTGTAATTATGATCCCAATATCTCTACAAATTGCAATGCAAATTTCTATAACTTAAGCACGATTTTTCAGCTAATTTTTTGGGGTGCACGTTGCGTTACTAGAAAATCATTTATACATAACACAAGTGAATACAACTGAGCGACGCGGAATTCATATTTAGACTTCAGGAAATATTAACCGGCATTTTTACTAAAGTAAATGAGTTTATAACCAGCGCAACAAAAGATTAAAGAGATGCCAATCCACGTAAAATTTTAATATTTAATTATTTTTTGTTCTACTATATTTTATCATTTTTTGAAATCTAGCGTGATTTCTTGCAATTTTTTCTTCAACATTTTTATTCGTTTCACTACATTGTCATTCGACTTATCGCTTATCGCCCTTATCGCAAATGTTTTCTACTGTAATTTCTTCTGATATTTTTAATTTTAATAATTTATAATTCGATGTGGCAGGAAATATTTTATTATGTAAAAGTAACGATCGCAAAATTATTTACGACAAAAAGTTATTTCATTCGATTTTAAAAATGTTTCATATCCTAACGCATTGAAAATTTCATATCACTTTAATTCAATAACTGCAATAACAACCGCCAATATTTCGTGATGATCGCGCACATTTTACCATCATAATTAAAACATTTCCGATGATTTAGCTCATCGCGACCGCACCAGCGGCTTTGATTAATAATTATTACCTTCATTATTATTATAATGAATGTTTTTTATGCGCCTACATTTAAGTTGCTAGTTTATTATCAAAACGCTATTATCCGCATTCGCATTGCATTTGCATACTTTCGGGCATGATATTAAAACAAAACTCCGAAACACACACCAAACACACTCGATCAACATGCGCAATTTAATATTGAATTTAATTAATTATAATCCATTGGATTAAAATGAAAATAATGATCATTGAATTGTATTGTGCGCGCGTTTAACATCAATTAGTTATTAATTAATGCGTTTATTACGTATATTGATTAATTACTAGGTATGGTTGAATATTTTTTACGTTTTGTGTAAAATTAAACCACCAAATGTCGATTGTTTCAGCATGTTATCGACAGCGTTTGTTTTCTGTAAACCTAACACGCTACCGCTTCATTTTTGCAATTAAATCGGTAATGGTAATATTTGCGTGATGCGATGCACGCAAGTTAAATTAATTTGGTGTCGTTTACCACGTCCGGTATTGACGCGAATTGACATCCGGAAGTTTACCAAACCAAACAACACAAACCGCAATCATTTAAAATTTAAACTAGTGAAAACAATTAAATGAAAAATATTTTATTAGTATATTAGGTATCAAGTGGCTAAAGTGAAGTTTTAGTCACGAGATTGATTATTTGAAATTTTTATTTTTTATTTTTGTAATAAATTTGGAAATTTAAGGTTAAGAATGTCTTGTGCTGCTTTGTAGACAAATGCGCATGCGCAAACTCCACTCGTGACTAAAACCCATGACTAAAGTACTTTTCTCACGGTTTTAGTTGTCCATGTTTAAAATACCAATTTTTATGTCTCAAAATCTAGAAAACTGTCAATATGAATTTTATATTTTTTACAATATTCTAGAATACGAGACGAGTATAGGTCAACCCGTCTTATCTTCCTCCGCTCATTTTCTTGCTCTTTATTTCTTCATCGCGCCCGGTCGTCGACGCTGACAATTTGATATATTAAAACTAGACGCTCGACAGACGCGCGTTACTTTTTCGTCTTCTTCTCCTGCTTCTTTTACGTCTTGCGCGACATGCTTGAAAGGGAAGGATGCTTCACGTCTAGCGATGCACCGACCGCATCTTGAAGCGTGGGCGTTTTATTTTTCCGCACCGCCTCACGAGTGCATCCTGACTTGACTGACGAGCTCTTGAAAACTTTTTACGCGAATTGAATTAAAATAATTGCGGTTTTCAAACATTTCACAAGTAGCTATAAACTTGCTAGTTGCAAAAGTTATCAAATTTAAAATATATTACATAGTAAAATGAGAAATTTTAATTTTTTTTTTTTTATTTACAGCCAGTTGGAATGTACCAGCATAAATATGAGTGGGCTGGACCCCAACAGGACACTGGCGATTGTTCGATATGGATTCGCGCTGCGCAACTGGAATTCGACGATGGTAATTGGGAATGTCAGGTTACCGCGAGCGATTTTCACACGCAGGACGCCCTCACGTCGCTGCCAGTCAAATTGGTTGTTCGAGGTGAGTGAAAATATTTTTTTTAACATTTTTTTACATTTTGTGTAATTTATGTGATATTTCTGCGATTGTGGCTTTTTTTATACGTTTATTCACAATTCCCAAATTTTATTCATTTTTTTATTGTCGTTTATTTCTTTTTCTTTCACTGAAGGGTGGAATTTCTGCTTTGAATATCGCATATCTGTTATCGATGATTATTTATCGACGTCTAATAGAATTGCTTCCTTTCGCGTCTGCGTTTCTTTTTCTTCTCTTCTTTCCGTTTCGTTTGTCACGCTAGGGTTGCGAATAAATAAACGGAATGTATATATCGAGGGCGCGAATTGAATTGGATTATTTGCGAGCGAGCGCATAATAACAATAACATGCGGGGAGCATACTTAGCAAATGGCGTGCACTAAGTCCTCGGCGCGACTTTGTTTAAGCGACGAATTCCTCGGATTTCTACGCGTACGCATTCGAAAATGCGTTTATTTCCGTTGCGCAGTTTGTGAACGCATTAAGTGTGTATATTTAGGCTTTTAGGGAATAGGGGATGATGAAGATGGGGGACGAAAGCAATCTATTGATTGCTATTGATGCACGAAATTGCTCGGCGCATTGAATGCTTTTTTTCCGGGGCGTTTTCTTTCGTTGTTTTGTTCGGCAATTTTGGGCCATTCGCGGAATGTCATTCATTGCATTCTAATGTCTCTTAAGTAAAGGTTTATATTTCTTTTTGTGGTTTTTGCATTTTTTTTCTCTTAGAATGAGTTTAATAGTTTCCGGTATTGAAAAATACTTTGTTATTAAATAACAAAGTATCTTTAAGTCATAAATAGTGGTCTAACTGTGGCTGATTCTGGCATTCAAAGTCTTTCTCCTCCTCGGCGGAGTCTTTTTGTAACGCGCGAATGGTTGGATTGGATGATAATAAATAAAATAAATACAGTCGGTTTGCGTCGAGTCTGTTTGGCCCCGCTTTGGCGATAATGGCGTTTTGCTTCGGCGCTTTGTCGCTTTGGCGCTGTTTTCCTCCGGAGTCGCCTTCGTTTTACACTCGCCGCGCGCTTTTTTTTTGTTAGCTTTAGAGTCATTTATTTCTCGTCTTTAAACATCTTCTCGGCGTCGGCGGCGTCTCGTTTGGCGATCATTGGCGTTTTTCCACGGAATAACACCCCCACGAGCAAAACTAACAATCGCGCATTATTTCACTAGATGCCGTTAGTGTCGACGGCAGGAAGTGACGTCGTGCGCGCTCTGGCCTCTCGTAAATCACGCCGGCGCGCATCCGGCGCTGTATTTGTATTTATATACTGCTGCGGCCCCGAAATGCACGGATCAAATAACCCATTGTCTGGTCACGACCACCGCGTGCCCTTTGCGCAACCTTCGGCAACTGTGTGTCGTCAAACTGGGCTTTTTATGCAAAGCGCGCAGCTATAATTCAATTATTTGCACTCGAACAATCTCCATCCGGCCGAGTTTCGTCGTGCTTATTTCATTCAATTTTACGGAATTTCATTTATGCCCACCGCACGCCGGATTGTCGACGCAGGGATGAAAATAACGAAGAAATATGGGGCAAAAGTGGCGCGAAACGCGCGACATATTTCATCATGGCGGCGCGCGTTAAATAAAAACGACAATTTCAGTTCTGGGGGTAGGGGTGGTCCCACCACGACGACTTGTATTGTTTTAATAAAAACCACGCCACGAAAAAAACGGAAAGCAGGTAATAAGTACAAATAAAATATGTGACACCTTACAAGCGGGTAAAGAGTAAAATAAAAAATATCACCGCACCCGTCGTAAGTATCCACACTTTGTTTGCCGGAGAAAGACGATGTGAGCCTTGAATTGCAAAAAGGTGGAAATTTTTACGCTGCGACCATTTTTCCAAGCGACGCACAAATCGTTTTCTTCCTTTGGCTGTTTCCGGCGCGGCGCAGCAGCGACGCCGAAGAATGCTTTAAGGATATTTTGTTTCGCTACGCACGTCCTGCAATAGCTTTAGATATATGTTGGCCGGGAGTTGGTTTAGGTGCGGGGGTTGTGGTTGAATCGGGCCGTTTAGAGAACGAAGGGGGTATAAGGAACTCCTGGAGACAGATTATCCCCGTTGGCGGTGCGCTGATTCATTGGCGGCATTCGTCTTGACTTGCTTCTATGGTACCAGAAACGTAGCCAAACGTTTTCGGGGTCGTTTAAAAAAACGTTAAAGCTTCACGCCACGCACGACGCGGGGACAAATGTAGAATGCTGTTAGGTTAACATACAGGGTGTTAAAATGTTAAAATTCAAAGATAGGCAACCCAAATAGCAAAATTTTTGTTTTATTTTAAAAATACAAAGATAGGCAACCCAAATAACAATTTTTTTTGTTTTATTTTAAAAGAAATTGTTTAGGAGATAATTATTTGTAGTGTGTAGAATTTTAGTATATACGGGTAGGCAACCCAAATGACATTTTTGTTTTATTTCCAAAAACGTCATTTTGAAGAAAATGAATAATAACAATGGGTTTAAACAGCGAATATCGTTGCATGACGAATACGAGAATGATGAAAATGCGCGTTTTGCACAAGTCAAAATAAAAATACAAACTCAATGTGCGCGTAACGCTAAGTGCTCCCATCAGAGGAGCATAAAAGTTGTATAATACTCCCTATTATGCCAACGCATTACATACTTTTATATGCGAATACAAATGTGAATGTACAATGTGTGATTTAATGGCTAAATTTGTTTTTGAAATAACTTTTCATTCCAAAAATCAAAAATTAAAAATTTAATTTTACATTTTGTGACATTTAAAAGTTAAATTTAATATTTTCACGATCATAAATATTAATATCCGCTCATTAATATATTTACAAGTCGTTATTAGTAGTTACACCCTCTGTCGTGTAAAATTACCCCCGCGTGCTTTTGTTTTACTCTCTCTTCTATTACCATAAATATATATTTGCCGCACGCATTACGCGCGATATTTACATGCTACATGCAACCACACTTTACCAAAACTAACCACCAACGCGGCTAGCAGCTAACAGGTATTTTCCATAAATATAATTTTTATTTCTTCTCACAACTCTCAACCCTCAACGGAATATTCATACGGAAAATGTACTACGAGTAGGTCAGAAATTAAATGCTTGTACCAATAACCAACTACAAGTCGTACCCCCACCACTCGACCTCATGACTATATGAGTGTGTACAACACAAGTGGGACGGCCGGGTAATCAAAAGGAAAAGGGTTGTAATGAAGTCTATTAATATGCATCCGTCTCCATAGAGGGCTGCGTTTCTTTTCTCGCGCGCGCGAGACGAGGAGGAAGATTAATTTGCGTACTAACTAAGACGCGAAATGTATGCAGATGTACGCACGGTCTGGGGGCGGCGGCTGAGCGGCGTAATCCGTTGTAATTTTGCATCCCCAGTTGTCGCGGCGTTGGTAATCCAATAATCATAGACACCTCGAGCTGTATTAGCGAGTACATTATCCGTGTAATTAAATATAGCCGCCGCCGCCGCCGCCTCCAGTCACTCTCGCTATCCATACCCTTGTCTTTATCTTGCCGGGAAGTGGGTGTGGAAGAATGACGACGACGAGATTCAGTCTAAACTGAATTAAAATTAGGCATCCGTGGTGGTTCATGCGTGTGTTGTCGATGCCTGCAACCAAATATACACGCAAGTTGCAGGTGCATGAATTGAGTTAAGTGTGATTGAATTTTCGACCTTTGCAAATCAAGTTAGGCTACTCAATTAACCAACTCGGATGGATACGTGAGTTTTACGTGATTTGTGATCATATTAATGGTTTATTTCGTTTTTGACTTGCGTTGGTTTTGGTATCTTCACTTGTAAATCATGCTGATTACGATTGCGATTGCGAGTCGCGAAATTAGAATTTATTGGATATGGCTTTGGCTCACGACTGGTGGAGAAGAGTCGTTCGTCTCCCAACTCCAGAGCTAACTCCATTGCCAGTTTCGTCTGCTTCGCATGAGGCGCGAGGCGGCTTGTTGATAAATCACTCCCGGAATATAAACAGAGATAACTCGCCTGGAAGTTGAGTACATATTACGATGTACTGCCACGAACACAAACACGCGCTCAGCTAACCACCACGCGCCAGGATTTTCCGTCTTTGTCCCGCGGTTTAGTCGCACAGCATGATTACGAGTGCGATAGTGTGAGGTTTGTGGTTTTGTGGGTTGCAGCCATTCCATCATAGGAATGTGTATGTGAGAGCAGGTTTGTTGGTGTGAAATGATGGAATGATAGAAAATGGGAACTTGAAACGTCGGTCGTAGTTGCTGGGGAAGGTGAGAAAGGACGAAAGCGGCGTGTAGCAATCAGGATCATCAGGAATCCATCAACGGCGTTGTGCAAACCGAGAAAATCAAGGAAAACTACCAGCCAGCGTTCTACCTGGAAATTTGTTGAAAATTACAACGCGGATACGAAAATCCAGCCGAGGATATCAGATGTTGAAGCGGAAGCCGCTGTAAAATATCCGGACGGCGGTTTTAAAAATAGTTTAATACAGGGTATTCACTTTGGATAAATTTGGATTTTATTATTCGTATTTCGGCGTGCGTCTGTTTCTGATGTTTATTTTTATTACACGGTTTTCTTTCGTCTACGTGTGCGCGGGTTGAATTCCCAGCGGTGCAATGCAAAAATCAATTACGTTATATTTGCGCCCGTCTGGCGCAAAATTTGCACCCGAATCTCTTTACGGCCTTGGAACTATACTGTTGCGCGTAAAGAAAATCCCTGATTCGGCTTGTTTTCCTCCGTCGGCTAGGTGTAAACAAACCGCCTCGCGTGGATGAGTCTCAGCGTCGACGTCGGCGAAATAAATAAAAGCAAAAACAATAAAAACGAAGAATAACGTGGAAAAAACGCTTGCAAACGGAAGGATTCAAGCTGCTTTCAACTCAGAAATGGAAAATTTAAAGTCTGACTTTCCCCGAAACGAGAATAACATATAACATATGAAAACG